AGTTTAATTTCTGTAAATTCGTTGAATAGGTAACCTATAAGTATTTTTATTAATTTAATTACAATAAACATAGTATTGTTGTATAGTTTACATATTATATTACACGAATGACATAAATTATGTATAAAATGAGTAGAATTTACTAGTTAACTTTTTTTAGAAAATAGTGAAGTAAACGAAAAATATTCCACTTTATATTTATGATATTTCTTGGATGTTAATTAATACTCTAATTTCAATAAAAAAAAAGTATATAATGATGTAAAAACCGTATTTTGAATGCAGTACTAAAAAGTAAAATGTATAACATTTTACTCAAATCAATGTAACCATTTTTCATTTAACTAAACGATTTAGTTATATAAAAAAGTATATACAATTTATAACAACATCAATATTATAATTGCTTTAGTTAATAACTGAAATACTGTTTTCAAACATAACTTCATGAAAACCGTATTAATTTATTTATTTTTTAAGTTATAAATGCTAGTTTTAAAAAGTAATTTTTACATTATGTCTATATTAATTTTGTACCTTTTAATATTAACAAATCAAACTGTTCTTTATTAACTTTATGAATTTTAACTTTTGATTATAATGTTTCATCAAATATAATAAATATTAATTAAGAGAAACATTTATGTTTTCCTATTTGTTAAAACATGCTTATATTTATTAAATATATTTTACACCCACTAAATTTCTTTGAATGAATTCATTATATTTTATAAATAATAATATATAAAGTATATATTTACATGTATGTATATTTATTACATAAAATTATAGATAAATCTAATTTAATATTTTATTAGTTTTCAAAAAGAAATATTATTCTTATTATATAGCTTCAGTTAATATTCTAAATTCTTGACGGAATAATGAATATATTGATCTAACAATAATGTACATGTGTGTGTGTGTGTGTGTGTTATTTTTTAAGTCAGTGTACTTTTATGTACTTTATCAGTATTGATAAAATGCTTTATTTTTTAAAGGTGATTTTGGATAGACAATTGAATTTTGTTTGTACTTTAAAAAGATCAGAATTAAATATTCTGATTATTTATACTTTTTTTTTTTATAGTCAGAAAAATAAACAAAACATTTAAAAAAATAGGAATTTTCACGTAAAACAAATATTATTATAAAAATAATTGTTTTGTAACTATAGTTACCAAAATTTAGATAGTTTTCACCCAGAATTTTTTTTTATGGTATTATAACGGATTACCATTGAATTTTAATTTAATAAAATCCATTATAGGTACTCAATAATGAGTTTCATTTGACACCTAATATACAATAGAGTGGTACACACTGCCTCCTACTGTTTTGAGATTTATAAACTGAGTAAGGAAATTATGCGATTAAATACTTATATTGTTACAAGAACATTTGAATTAGAATTTTCGTGACAATTACTTTAAATTTGAATCATTATAAAAATATAAATTATTATTAAGTAGCACAGATATAAATTTATAAATGTCTATAACTGTTGTACTAAGCTCAGTGATAAAAAATAGTCATGAAAACAATAAGCTCCCACTTATGTTTATGCTTAGAGAAATTGAAGGAACGGTTTTTGAGTAAATTTTACAGCGTCACTATTTGCTATTGTATAAAGAGCTTGGTAAGCGGTGGTAGTTGAGTGAGTATGGGAGAGAAATAGAGAGAGTGAGTGGGAGAAAAAAGATGGACAGATAGAGTAAGAAATAGTGTGAAAGCGTGAGCGAGATGCAGAAGAGAAAAAAGGTAAAGATAAAATGAGGGCCGACCTCTTGAACTCTGATCGACACCCGTCACGCCTTTGTCAGACTATAAGAGTCTGTAGTCGTAAGCCCACTTTAGCATGTGCCTTTCAGTGTTATTTTCCGGTCTCTATGATCCCTGAGTGGCAGGCAAACCTATCTGAAAGATGAGGTAAAGGGATATATATCATGGACAGAATATGAGAAAAAGAGTAAGTAAAAAAAGTACTGTGAAAGAGAAAAAGAATAAAAATAAAAACACAAGGAATAAAAAAGGGAAGAATAAAAATAAAATAATGTCAAGTTTTAATTGAAAAAGTTTAAACGTTAAGGAATCGTCCCACATTTTCTCAGTACAATAAATATTAAAATAAATGCACGTGTCTCTGCAAAGAACAATAAATGCTTAAAATGCATCTGTTAATTATGTGGACTAGATAGTTTTAGAAATATGATGTGTATAAATATGATTGTGATTTTTTATAAAATTAATGATAAATTAAAATCCAACTTACATATCTAGTACTGATTATTTCACTATTGCTTTATACTACGTTTATGATTTGACGATTTAATGGTACGAACATTTTGAATTTTCACGTTTTTATGTCTATATTCTTAACTACATTTTTTGCCGATAAATATTGTGCTATTCAACTTACTTAAAGTTCACACCGTTTAAGAATCACTGATTTATTGCTTGAATAGCAGATTATTCCTTTCAGTAAACACTTGGTTTTATGTCATCTGCAAATGACACTATAAACTCCTTTCCTCTTGTCATCTTGCCTTTCTCAATATAGCTCCGCGCATATACCTACATTATTATGTAAAATACGCGTGACAAAACAATCTTCAGATACGCTTGGGGTATTTTATATAATATAACACGTACTTTTATATGAGTATTTTTTATCAATACTTCGATAGAAGTAAATTTAAATAACGAAAAATATTTTTTTAGTCATTTTTAATAAACATATCAGTATATATTTGTATATTATTATTTTGTTCATCTAATATTCATATAAAATTTCAATACTGATAATATGATTTTATTTGATTATTTTATATTTTATTAGCACTCAATACTATATTATACTTCTATAAAGATTGTTTAATCATAGGATAAATAGACTTATTTGATACAAATATTATATAATTATTATTAAGTCTTTCTTAATACTATGAAACGAATAATGAAAATTAATTAAACATATTATATTAAATATTTCTGTAACAATTCTCAAGTTAAAAACATTTTGATTTTTGTTGTTTTATTTTTTTTAGCATTTAGAAGTGAATTTTATTGTAGGCCAAACTAATTATATCTACCTTTATTATGCTGAATTATATTTATAAATTATCACACGTCAGAAGTATTAGATCATTGTTTTATTTTTAATTGAATAGCAATATCCATTGCCCAGAATTAATATTTAATTTGAACTACTAATGTAGAACAAAGCAAGAAAATACTTTTACGTGTCATTTTATCGAACTAAATATATTAATACACTCTTACATAATAAATATATTAAATATATGAATAGAGTTAATAATTTATTATTTTGATGTAAATTTATTTTATAAGAATTACAATGTTTCTTTTATATTATAACTTAATATTATTATTAATAACTGTAATTGTAAAATACATATGACTATTTTTTTAATTTACTCGTTGTAATGTATACCGTAAATTAGTCTGAAAATATTGATTCCATTGGGTTCCTGACCAAATGGTCATTTGAATAAATACTTACATACACAAATAAAAATGTATTTATAGCTTTATCTATATTCTAAATTTAATTAATGTAAGTAAAATAAATTTTAAATCTAGATTCTTTTTTAAATCACAATTTTTCTTAGTCGTTAAAAATATTCGAATGCTTAAACTTTAGTAATTTTGTTATAAAATAATATGATTAAATGTTTGTATACTAATATATTTATAAACTTTGCTCAAAATAAATGTTAGTTTGTATAATAAAATTTAACTATAACCACAATTAAATCTATGTTTAAAATAAATATAATATGTTTCTGAGTTATATTCATGATAAACTACCAATAATAACACTAGTATAATTATATGATCATTTTAAAGATTTTACATTAAGAAATATAGCTTTTTTTTAATTTAAATTAATTTAAAATTATTAAAGATATATAATATTACAATTGTATAACTACTAGTATTTTATTACTTAGTTTAATTTTTTACTAAATAAAATATAATCTCTTTCCTTTCTGTTTGCACGACCTTTCGTTTGTAATAGCTGCCAAGATTTTTATGACGATGATTGATGGGCAAATTTTAAAATATCATAAACCAACGAACATCAAACATGTTGTGGATGGGTGACCTTCCAAGAAATCGTCTCCATATAAAGAAATAACATGAAAGGAGGTTAAATTGAAATGTATATATCATCTGATTTTACTTTATATATTATTTTTAAAATATCCGGTGAATATATTTTTTTTTTTTTTTACTATTGTATATTGTATAATTTTAAAACTCATATCAATAAAAAAAATGTTAATATAATATAATCATTTAAATACTTATATGATATTATTTCATGTAATTTTTTATGAATAAAACCGACTATTATAAATGCAACCAATTAGTTGGAATATATATTAGGCATCTACCTACAGCTATTCGTTAAAAGTCTGTTGTGAGTACCTCAAGCACTTGAACTTTAATGACTATAATAGTTCACCAGTCATTAAATATATATATATGCGTGTGTTTGTGTTTATATTTTATTTATAATAAATTAAAAACACCAGAGACATATTAATATGGAATTTGTGTCATAAGACGAATTAAATAATAAATTATTGTCATATATGTATATTGTATAGTGTATACAATAGGTAAACCTACTATATTATAATAGTAGTTAGTGTATTTTAATAATGATATTGCTTAAATTATGATGTAACGCAAATATATTGGATAATGTCGTGTTATATGACCTCTAGGGAAATTAACCGCTAACTAGAATAAAAAAAAAAAAACTACACGTGTACAATCTCAAACAATAATTTTAAAATAAAATATTATACAAAAATAATAATAAAACTAAAATATGTAAAATAAACTCAAACAATAATTTTAAAATAAAATATTATACAAAAATAATAGTAAAACTAAAATATGTAAAATAAATCGTATATAACAGTAATAATCATTGTTTTATGTATATATTTTATTTGTGTTTGCAGGACGCTTATTCTCTGTGGGCGTGTGCCGCGGTCCTGCCTCACTGGACCCGGACGACAGCGAAACAGGGACGCCGCGGCCGTTACAGGGTGAACGCTTGCCGATCCGTGTGTCTGGAAGCTGAACAAAAGTGTCCGTGGTTACTTCCGGTAGCTGATGACGCCAACCCGTATGCCGGCGAGGCATCGTTCACTTGTATAGGTAAATAACAGGCGACGGTATAATATTGTTTCACCCTTTTCCCCTCAATTAGTACATTTAAGGAATCAGGGAAAATAATTTAAAGTAGGTAGGTATTCAAAGTAAAAATATTAATATGTGTAGTAAATCGCTTATAAATTATCTTTTTAACGGATTTTCGGTTTGTATACAGCCACTTTAAGTCATTTTCCAGAACACTATGATTATCTATCCTGAAATTTCGATAGTTTACTAACTATTATGAGGCGTAGTACAGAAAGATTATTTACTCCGACTTTACCACTTATAATACCTTATTTAATTCGTCACACTACATTTTGTCAATAACTCGTTCGCATACAGAGTGTAACTGAACAATTTCGTTATTAAAGAAAAAAAAAACACAGTTTACATCAAATTATTTATGTTCTGTATACGCCTTATATGTGTGCGTGTGTATTGGTCGTTTACGCTACCATTGTATAGCGGTTGAATGTACGTCTGCACTATACTTTTTTTAGTCTAGGTATATTTACCTCCACCGCGTCCACCGCTAAAGAACTTTAATTTATAATATTGCTAATTGCTGCCGCCGATAATGTACGCTGAAAAATCGAACACCAATGTATGCACCATAACGCGTGCGCGCACGTGTTTATATCTATGTGGATGAGCGTGTGCTGAGAGAAACGCGTGACGCCTTCTTTCCTGGCGTTCGCGCCGTCGCCACCGCCACCAGCAGCACCGCCGCGCCGTCGATCGTTGTTGCTAAGGGTCCCTTCCTCGTCAACGAGCGCCAGCTAGTTTGTGTACTGCGTGCGTGTATGTGTGTGTGACTGTGCCCTACACAACGGTCGGGTTGTCGTGGGTGAGGTAAAAAACTCGGGCACTCCGCCTCGCACCTCCCCCGTATGGGGCGAGCGGGACAGATATGTCATGTATAATATTATACGTGCGCGCCCGTCTTCTAGTTAGGTTTTCGGGTTACCCTTTTCCAAACTATAATAATAATAATATATTACAGCATAACGCATCGTATATAATATGTTATTATTACTATCACTATTACCATTATTGTACCCGTCTCGGATATGGCCATCAAAGGACTCGAGTATCAGTACCAGTAGTATCATGGCATTGTAATGCGTTTTAATTCAGAAACAACGCAGCGCGATTCGAAGTATTATTATTATTTTTATTATTGTATAGTTGGCCATCACTTTTTCGTTTCCCTCTTCTGGTTTGTCATTTCCGCACATTATTGTTATTATAGCTATAAGAACCGCAACGGCTACTATATAATATAATATCTTCATCTGAACAGTGTTAATAAGCACGTACAGAAATATTGTTCTTGTTGTTGTCGTTATTGCCATTCTAACGGTCCGAGTAGTAGGTACGCGTGTTAAACAATATATAATAATATTTACTAATACAGTGTTCATAGTTGGAAACCTTAGTCTTTATTTTTCCGACACAACGATGCCAAATACGTAGTATTGTCTCTGAGTATTTTATCTACAAATAGCTATTCGAATCGAATTAATTACTGTTAATATATTGCCACACAAATTTGAGAATATATTTAAAATTCAATAAATCTGATACATTTTTGTAACTTTCCACGTTGTCTCAACACTCTCAACGGAACATTTAAGAAATAAATAGAAAATGCATTAAATACAATTAATTAAATACAGTATTTTCTAGAAACATATTATACGATTAAGATTCTGTATTATTAGTTTTGTATTATTCCCGAACTCCAGTACACTTATCTTTGGCTGTACTTTGTTTTGGGAGAACATTTTTTTTTCGGTAGTTGCAGTAATTAAATAAGTAAATAAAAACAGTCGGGTATCTTGTATTTAGTAGTTTGGACTCAAACTGTCAAAAAACCAATTTGTGACAAAAAATACAATCTGCTTGTGGTGGATTTGTAACAGTTTTGTAATATGTATATTTGACAACATACTACATATATTGTGTTTATTTTATTTTTAAATAAATGTAAGGGTACATTTTTTGAGGATTGAAAATAATTATTGTGTATTGAATCGTAAAAGCAATACGAAATATATTATAATATCTTATAAAAACTAAATTTGAATAGACTTAAAGAAATAGAATATTAAAATTATAAAAAATAAATTCGATTGTTATATATTATTGAGATTTTTTCGCACAACCTTTTACTCTAACCTACTCATTGAGAAAATCATTTTTTTGTTTTTAGTAAAATTATTAAGACAAATAAATTAAATTATTTAACTATAACTAAAGGGTATCACAATTATTTGCGTTATTACATGTGTATAGTTAAAACAAAGTGTTTTTTTTTTTTTTTTATGAATATAACGTTTTGTTAAAAAAACAAAAGGAGAAAAAAGTCTTACAAATACGTGTTTCCTGCTACTCTTTGTTTCGTTCAGCTACGAAAGGCTTTTTGTGTCAGTCACGTATTATGCGTAATGCCAGGCAAGTTTTAAAAAAAATAAATAGTTGACCCAGTGAAAATATTGTTGAACGTATAATAATATAAAAACATCGTTGCTTTTATGAATTGTCGATATTTTTATTATAACTCTTCGAATCTATGCAATAACTAGTTTGTTCCACTCTAAGAATTGTGTAAAAATGTATATATTATTAAAATATTTTTATTATTATTATTATTTTTTTTTTTTTTTTTGATGAATATTTCATGTATTTAAAATACAAAATTATTCTTATTTATTAAAAAGAAAATTGCTATCCAGTGACCATACAATATATAGCATTTGCTCTGAACCTTCACCTCTACTATGTCGTATTATTATTAAAATTTTAATTTGATTAAAATAGAAATAAAAGTTTACCTAATAGGTATGTATTATTAAAGCCTAGTTTAGATCAATCTTCAATTTTTTTCGAAATCAATTTTCGTATAATGTAAATACTAAACAGGTATCAATGTTATTTGTCTTGTTTTTTTTTTTTTTTTCATAAAACAAAGAGGATTAAATTTTAGCAAGTAAAGTATTTTTATTAAAATAGGTCAGGCCTATGAAGCAGATGTGCTGAGGCAACACAAATTAATAATATGTAACGCTGCCAAACAACAGTGCGAGGACTTACGGTCAGTCCGGGAGGAATTCTGGTCAGTCGTGGTGTGTTGTGACGAACTGCCAGTCTTTTAGAGATTTTTTTTTAATTTTTAAGTTTTATATTTTGTTTGTATTTAATTTTAATAAAAGTTATTTGTTTTTTTTTTTAATACGTAAAAGGGTTAATACTTCTTTGGAGTAGCGATTAATCTGGAGGCAAGCACCGAGGCGATTGTGGTAACAAAACTATAGTAAGACACTATTATACTTATTTCTCTTCCAGTACTTATTACCGTGGTCAGTTGAGAAATAGTACAATTTTATCGAGGTTAAAAAGATCCCATTCTCAAACATTCAGTACTCGTTACCGTGGTCAGTTGTTCGAGAGTAAAGTAACCTTAGAGTTATAGAATATAATCCTGCAGACTCTTATTAAATTATCTTTTAGACTGTACTCGCAACGTGGTCACTGAAGGGTGGTTGAGTAAGCTCTCGCTACTGGTATCTATATTTACCTGTTTGACGGTTTGAGAATCGGAAACCGAGATTTCTGTTATATACGTTGAGCCATTGCTTGGCATATACGACACAATAATGGATCTTTGTTTAATTTTTTAAACACTTTTGAAATATTAAAAATGAAATGTAATTAAAACAATTATTTTTATTTTTAATTAAAATTAAGTTTTAATATTCAAATTAATACATTTCGATGCAATAACACTATTTTAGCGAATTGAAAATAAATAAATAATAACTTTAATATGTCATTTAAATTAATTGTTTACTTTTAAATGGAACATTTTGAATATTATTTAAAATATCAGAATTCACAAATTCAAATATAATTCCTCTTGATTTCGAGAATTTTAAATACCTTAAATTCCTAGATGTGTCATGTATTTGAAGATTCACAAATATATCTTTTGTATTAATTATTAATAAATCATTTGATTGTTTTTTAACACAAACTATAGTATAATGCTTTCAGTAATATTAGTAAGTATATCACAAAAATAAAAACAAATATATTTATATTAGTGATTAACAATATGTAATATTTATTTGAAGCATCATTATTACCGACAATATAATTTAAATTTGATTCATCACGTTACCATTATTCGAGTACTATAATATAATATGTAATAAATTAATTTTTTACCTTATTACTACCGAAACATAAACCTTATATTTTTTTCTAAATATAATTAAATATATCAGTTTAAGTTGTATACGATATATTATTATTATTCTGCTTAGTTAGCTAGCTCCTTAATTTAAAATATACATTTAAGATAATGGGGTTTTAATACTACTCAAGTACAATTATGCATAACATGTTAAACTGCAGTTTATAGTATTATATTGCAATTTTCCTATTATGTCATGTAAGATTAGCCATCATTAAACATTTGATATCACGATTTAAGATCGACAGATTGTGCACAAAACCATAGAATCTTAAGGGTGATGATTATATATGAGTATTGGAGTATTGCTGTATGAATTACAATATTATTATTAAAATGCTCTTTTTTTAAATTTCAATGTTTTTCATGAACCACTGATGACGGATATAGTGATATCATAATTCATTAATTAAACCATTTTTCACCTATTGATCATTAATCAATTATGGTTTATTTTTTGTGTTACTACGACGGCGGTCAAGAAAAATAGCGTTGTGTGATATCGTGATGCTTACAATAATAAAAAAGAAACTGTTTAGGATATTTTCTGTCCATAGATCCGGACATATGGTTCCAGACGTCTGCGACGGACGTGACAGAACAATGCTGCTATGAGCACTGTGCGGACGGTCTATGCGTACGGAACGAAACGCTGTGCAACGGTGGCAGTGGCGGCTCCGCGGATCTTCAGAGACCGGTGTGCGTGGAAAATGTTCCGCTGGCGGATGAAGAGTCTCAGTGCACCGATTATAGTCTAACTGACTCGTCCTCAACCCATAATCGACCGGACCTGTCACTGCAGTTTTTATTGTGGGCGGCATCGGGGCTGGTGCTGGCAGCGGCGGCAGCTGTCACGTAGCAATTGACGAGACGATGACGAAAATGACCGACGACGGGGATAACGGAGATACAAAACAAAATACACGATTTCCGCAAAATTACAAATCTATTATTATTATTATTATTATTATTGTTAATATAAATTATTGTTGTTATTATTGTAATGCCACTTGCGAACGGACGAGGTTTTTATCTCAAAAAAGAAAAAAAAAATGAAACCAAAAAATAATAATAATTATTATTATAGTATGAAAAAAAAAATAATAATGAAAATAACGACGGACCGCCCGTCTGATTAACGCGGACGCAACGGGCACGAGCAGTACTTATAATAGCTCGTCATCGTTGCTTGAGGGCGGCCGGTGAACCGGAGGGAGCTTGACACCTCTCTGACAGGGTCCTCGTTCCTGATAAGACTATTATTGAAATACTTATACAATACATTATATTGTTATAAAAATGCAAACTATCATACACACACAAACACAAACATATACACATACAAGAGGCGTAACTAAGGGAAGGTAGCCTGAGGGTAGATTTGTCACCTCTTCTGACGAATAATTCAAACTTTAGTATCCATTGAAATTATTCGAAAATATTATACAGGCTATCAAAAGCTGTATAAATATATGGTATATATATTTTAATCCCATCTTCACGAGATCAGTTGTTCGTTATTAAGGCCGTATCACATTTATACACACCAGTGACATAACTCAGTGGGGGTGATCAGTACATATTTGTCACTCCCCCTCTCTAAAATAATTTAAACTTCAGCATCTAGAAAAATAATATTATTAAGACTATCGAAAGTAATAAAATATATTATAATGTATACGTTTTAACCATTCTACTCAAGTTTGATTATACGGTTACGCCCATTTCACACAAACACACACACACACACACACACACACACACACACACATTTACCACGATCGTTGGTGCCATAGGTTTTTTCAGACCGGGACCAATAAAATATATTATCACAATATATGAACGCACGACGAACGCGCGCAATTATTATACTGACGGATATATTAATATAATTATTGAAACAACGCGTAAGGCGTAGCGTATTAATATATTATAATAAGATTTTCAATGCGAATATAATTTAACTAAATACTTTTGTGTTATTGTAGTGCTAAGACCATTATAATATAGATAACTACACGTTACCGCTATTAGATCGTAGTGAGTTGTATGACTCAATGTCCGAATAAGTTGTATAGAGTAAGAAATGGATTCACGCATTTGTTTTTTTTTCATTCTGTATTCTTGTTTCAATTAATTTTTATAAATTTAATTTCAATATCTTACGAAAAATTTGAGCGATGGATAAGAGAAATTTGATAGTTACGTAACGACGATCGATTACAACAATTATTAGTTATTATTTAAGTTTATTAATTGATATCGTCGAAAACACGGAGTGTTTTAATCTTGTCATTAAATGTACCTATCATACTCATAACCGATGTGATTTGCATCTTTACCTATTTAATGCACGCCATCTGTCAAATGTGTTATTTTAAGACATTCAAAAGATAAATTGCGCTTGAATTACTAAAACGGTTTCACGTGACAAATAATCAATAATTATTTGGGGATTTTTTTTTATCCACCACATTAAAATTTAAAATCTAACAAAGTAAAATTTAAAATCTAACAAAGTAAAATTTAAAATCTTACAAAGTAAAATAAACCTTAATATTTATAATAAGTAAACATTTTCTTGTGTTCATTTTCATAATTTTGGAAAAACATATGTATTCTTCTTTTACAAGTTAAAAACGAATTAAATTTCCTCAAAGCGATAGACACCTGTCACAACATTATTTTTAAATTATTTTTTTTTAGTAATGATTTAGGTTGTATTTTTTACTAACATAGTAGTTGATCATATATTTAAAAATTAATGTCATTACATAGTAGGTATGTCCCGTATTATATAGATTCGTACGGGTGATCTTTAGCATATTGTGATTATTAGCTTCTATGGTTTTAAGTTTTTTGTTAATTTAATATGTTCAATAAATTTGTTTTATTTAAGTTCTAGAATTACTGGAGACAAATTAGTTAAATTTTGTTTAAGACAATAATATTATTGTTGTTTTCGTTTATGCACAGAAAAACTTACGAATAGGACCTTAAAAAAAAAAAAAAAAAAAAAAATTGTTCTTGGGCTAAACAATGGAAAGTGTTAAAAATATATTGTTCCTGTTAGAATTTAAATTTATAAAATATGCTAAATTTGTTGTAAAATTTAATATTTTCAAATATAATTATAACATACAAACATTGTAATAATTTAAATTAAATATAGGGTTAATTTTTATAATTTGACTGGTTTAGGTAAACATGGTTGCAAAAATATATTATCTATAGATAATAAATGTATATATAAATATTTATTATTTATATAAATATATCTATATATAATATGAGTTAGCTTTATTTGTAGGTAGTTCCGTCCAAACATATTATATTGTAGTTATTAAACAATATCTCGTACTTACGGCCTACAGAACGTTAAATTTAATTGAGCGATTTATTTTCAAATCTTATTTCATGCCCTTTAATTGTATTTTTTTTTTTTTTTTTGTTTTCGTGCCAATTTAAATCTTACTTAAGTCAATATTATTAGAAAAGTGCTCAATATATATTGTAAAAATTTATAGACTTAGAAATGAACAGAAATGTCAAATCTAATAAGTATATTATTGTAGGTTTAATATTTTTAAATACATTACTTAAGATTATTTTTTAACTATATTTTAAATTACGGATTTCTCAAAGAAATTATAAATTATGGTATAAACCTATCAGCCGGCCTGTCAAAATGAACCCCATCATTTTTTTTCGATATCAGTTTTATTGTATTTGTATGATGAAAGGAAATAGTTATTTTATAGTTATATAATATTTTTTGAAAATAATTATTGAAAATTTAAATATAATTGTTGTAAAATATTCAACGAAAAAAAAAATATTGTTCAATTTGAGCACAATAAAAAATACTCACTTTATTTATCAAAAATATTATTATTTCTTTTCAATACTCGGTAAAATACATTAAGTGTTCTTATGTTATGTGAAATTATACACGAATGAATTAAGTAGATACTAAATTTTGTTTTATGATAAAGAAAAAATTGAATATGCTTTAAGCAAATATATAATACTGATTAGAAAAATTATGATGGAAAAATTATGTGACGTAAATAATACATTAATATTTAATATACATCAAACTCACAAAAGTGGTACAAAATTTTTCATTTTGAGAAGACCGTCCTTATTACTTACAATTATGTACATAGCCATAAAACTAAATATAATATTAATTAATTTTCTACTCTATATACTATTTCTGTTCATAAAATGAAAAAAAATTCAAAATTATTTTATAGCTTTTTAGGTACGTATACTAATAATTACTAATGAGTTTATATACAATTAACTGAGTGCTCTGTAGATGAAAGTTTTAAGGTATTTTTACACCACTTGAGTAGAGACCAAGGGGCAAGGGCTAACCACTCCATAGCGGTCGTTTGATTTATATAATAATAAAGAAAAACATAGATAACGATAATAATATAATATGATTGATTAGACTATTACAAAATTAAGGTTATATTTACCTTTATTAATAATGTCATTATACTGAATATATTATAATTATAAATATAAACAACATGTAGTCAATTGTAAAAATAATTCTATATGATTATATTAAGTATTATAAATAATAAAATATAAAAACTGTTGGTTAATTATTAGTTTTGTAAAACATTTGTTACGTTCAGACGTATATTATAAGAATTTTAAAATAATGATATGAATGCAAAATACTATTACGAGAACAGAAAAACATTATGTTATGGAATAAAACGTTTGTTTTATAGGAAATATATATAATTTAAAATACATGATATTGTATATTTGTGTTTTTTTCATATGTAACGTGTATGCACTTATATGAGACAACTGTATTGTCATCGTCGAATAATACTATTACCATATGTAATATACCATGATAATATTATTGGCAACAACGCAATTCGTTGATAATAACGACTTTGCATTTAAAATACAGAGGTGCTAAAATAACAAGTGTTTAAAACTACCTAATATTCTATAATAATATAAACAACTTGTTTATAATAATATATGCATCTCAGTATACTTAATTAAAATAATATTACAGAATGTTATTAAAAATATATCAAGATAATATTTTTATACTAGAAGCGGGGCAAATAATATTATCCTATCCACTAATTTAGTAATGATTATCTATCCTTGAAATTAATCCTTTAACCATTACATTTAGGAAAAATCAATTTTTTTCATAACGCGTAGCTTCTATATAAGAATGTTGATTGTTGATTAACTTTAATTTGTAATAAATGGCTTGGCGTGGCGCGTTGGCTGCTACCAGTCGCGGAATGCAACTGAGAGTAAGTAACGGCCACAGCTACTAGCTCCCGGGTGGGTGATCACCCGGGATCATAGTGGTTAAAAACCTTGCCACACATACACGTGCTTGCTATCAACTGTAACAACAATCATAAAAAACAACCTATCGTACCAATCTTACCCGTACCACAGTTCATAACCCCTACAACAGCCAATGGCCCTAGTCGCCAGGCTTAGGTTCAATAAAAAAAAAAAAATTGTAATAAAAATATTACAAATTATTTATAATTTGATAATATCCACCATAATATAATAGATAATTACTAAGTACTAATTAGTCTAATCGTTAATAATATAGATGTATATTAGCACAGTTTAACATTGATTACAGTATTTTTGAAAGTTATGAAAATTGATTTAATATAATTTCACACCCACACTTATTTTGTATCCACTTAAAAAACTGACTATGTATAGTATGAGCATAACTCACAATATGTATAAATTTCATGTTTACATAAACTTTTTATAATACTTAATAATACATAAAATATAACTTACTAATTTAATGAATTTGTTTATACTATGTAAATTATTTATAAAATAAACCTTTATGTTGCATGTAGTTGAAACAAAAAAACCTAAAGATTGGAAATACTATTATATATTTTATCTTCTCCGTAGAATCTTGTTCAAACTTTTAAAGCATAGTCAACTGTGTTTAAAAGTTTATCATTATTGTTAAATGTGTTCATAGCAAGACATTTGAGCAATTATTTTAACAAAATCTCAAATAACTTGTATTAAAAATATATCAATTAGCTAAATGTTTAAGTCGTTATAGATTTAAAATACTCAAGAACTCAAAATAGTATCTAAGTAACGCCATACAATTTCAAAAGTAAGTAATAATTTAATATATTTTATTATTTAAAATTAATTTGTATTTATTTTAAAACACCTATAATTTATATATATTTTTAAATTAACTATTGATTTTTTGTACTTACCAAGAAAATATTTATTGTGTTAAATATCAGGTCGTATATATAAATATGATATACTGAAATCAGATCAAAATAAGCACGAACATATGCGTATGTATTATTAACCTAAATTAAGTTCTCATAAAAAATACAGTTAATATAAAATATTATAATAATCAAGTAGGTATATATAAAATAACTATAAAATATTTTAATTATAATATATTAACAAACTAGTAATTCGTGCGTAGGATTAATTCAAGAAGGGACTTAAAAAATTAAGTGAAATGTACAGATTAAAGCGTTTTTTGCAATATTTATTCATTTTTTAATTTTGTTTTAATTATACAAGTATGTACTCGTATAGTTATAAATTATTAGTTTCCACATATCACTGACCTTTAATATGCCTTAAATTGACGCATCGTATAAAGTGATAATTTAATAGCTGTTGTAAATACTATGGTAGCACTGCCATAAAATATTATAGTTAGTAAATATTAGAAAATATATTAACGTTGTCACGAAAACACAATGAAGGCAAGGGGAATTCTAAATATTCTGTCTTAAAATTATACTAAATTTTTCCATGTATAAGGTAAATTATTGTTGTGTAAAATTGAAGAGTATGTTTGAATTATTTTGTACATTATGGCTTCATATAGGATTTTTAACTAAATCAGAAGGAGTCTAGAGAAATAGAGAAGTTTGATAAAATATTACCGTGTTTCAGAGATCTTCAAGACAAGTATTACGTTTGAGCCGGACCTCGGTCGGAAAGTTTAAGGAAATATAGCTAATATTCTGCTTCCAAAGCAAATAAAGTTTAATAATTTAATCGACCGATACCCTGTTCAAAATACTGTATGTAGTACCATTCTATGTACTTAGTAATGCTATAACTTCTGTTTCTATTTATTAGTGTTCTATAAATATTTTACGATAACACTAATGATCTAGTTTTAAAAAATTATTTTAACTAAGAATCGTACTTATCTATTGTTTTTGGTTAGTACGGTTATTTTTCACGTAAATAATTATAAACATTTTAAAATGACACAACGTTGGTTAAGATCAATTTATTCAAATTTATCGCAGCTCAAGATTGGTCCTCAAAAACTTTAAAGCTCAATCCTTTAGACTACCTTTTATGGACTATTTTAGAAGAAAAAATCTGTTCTAAACCCTGTCAAAATGACGAATAACTAAAAGCTGATCTGGTAAAATCAGCTGCCTCAATATCGTTAGAATAGT